TAGTACCTAAAATAAGCAAAACATATGCAAAAAGAAATCAATAGCTAAAAGCTAAAATTGGCTAACTAGTACCTAAAATATGCAAAACATATGCTAAATGAAATCAATAGCTAAAAGCTAAATTTGGCTAACTAGTACCTAAAATAAGCAAAACACATGCTGAATAAATCAATAGCTAAAAGCTAAATTTGGCTAACTAGTACCTAAAATAAGCAAAACACATGCTGAATAAATCAATAGCTAAAAGCTAAATTTGGCTAACTAGTACCTAAAATAAGCAAAACAAATGCTAAACAAATCAGTAGCGAAAAGCTAAAATTGGCTAACTAGTACTTAAAATAAGCAAAACAAATGCTAAATCAATCAATAGCTAAAAGCTAAATTTGGCTAACTAGTATCTAAAATAAGCAAAACAAATGCTAAATAAATCAGTAGCTAAAAGCTAAAATTGGCTAACTAGTACCTAAAAATAGCTAAAAGCTAAAATTGGCTAACTTGTACCTAAAAAAATCTAAGCACATGCTAAAAGAAATCAAAAGATAAAAGCTAAAATTGGCTAACTAGTACTTAAAATAAGCAAAACATATGCTAAATGACATCAATAGCTAAAAGCTAATATAGGCTATTTAGTACTTAAAATAATAACAAAAAACATATGCCAAATCAAATCAACAGCTAAAGCTAAGATTGGCTAGTTAGTACCTAAAACAAGCAAAGCATATGCTAAATCAAATCAAAAGCTAAAAGCTAAAATTGGAAAAATCAAGACCTAAAAACAAGCAAAACAATACACAACAGCTAAATTTTGTAAAATAACAGCTTAAATGACTGGCAAAACACTAAGTACTTGTTGTTGTAGTTTTTGTTTGTTTGTTTGTTTGTTTGTTTTGGGGGGGAGCTAAAATAATGACCAAAAGGTTTATCACATCAACAGCTAAAAGCTAAAATTTACTAATTGGTAGCTACATAGTAAAACAGTTAGTAAAAGCTAAGACCAGTAAACTACTTTGGTAAAAAGTAAATAAAGTAGATGTGAAATGACCCAAAGGTGTGTTTTGATGCGTTACTCTTCATCAGGTGATGAGTCTTCCTCTCAGCAGCAGCTCACCTGCAGATCTGCTCCCTGAAGTCKACAGTCCATGTACTTTTCCCACGCAAACGACACATCAGTCTGCTGTGAACGGGCCATCGCGTCGTCCACTCCTCCACGTCAGGAAATGCAGAAACGCGTCTGTAGTTTTTCCTCCTCTACCCCCCAGGTGGCTTGAAGTGGACCGGACAGCCCGAACAACGTTCTCCTGGGTCTGTCATTGCAGATTCATGATTCACTGCGCCGCTTTGCCGCTTTTCAATCCTGCAGAGGAAACACGACAGAGAGGTGCCGAGGGTTAGCCAAAACAAAACCCCGTCGTGCTCTCCTGTCACCCCACGGCCGGGTAAATTAAGAAGAGTCAGGTCCGAGCCGCTCCAATCGAACAAGAACCCGGAACTTCTTTGCTCTGACGAGATAGCCGCACCGACACCAGAACCAAAACAAACCCGACTCAAGCCAAACAGAGAGGTAGCTAACCGAGAGATAACGTGACAGGACCTGCGTCAAGTTTCTGCGCAGTTGTATAAAGTTAATTTCCGGTGCGAAGTTTGTCCTTCAAAATAAAAGCACAACGCGATGATTTAATACTTCTTTGTTGATAAATCCTAACATTAATAGCCTTTAGGGCCCATTCATACATGTTCTTGACAAAAAGCAAACCTATATAACTTAATGCGATAATTATTAAGTAAATAAATTTTCTGATAAATTATATTTGTTAATTTTCTAACCAACCTAAAACATGACATAAATAAAATAACCTGCATGTATAGCCAGTACATATTTATTTTGTTTCAACAGTGTTTTCCAGAAAATATAAAATGTATAAACAATAATGTTTTATGATTACTGATTGCACCTTATTTTAATGATAAAATAGCAAGAAAGTAGAAATAAACATCTCATCACCATCTACAAATAGATATGTCAGTATTTCATTAATTAAATGCAAGTTTAAACTTATGAGTCATAAATATGATGCACKTTGATTTCTAATCAATATATGAAATGCTAAATAAATAAATAAATAATAAAGCATAAGTTTTATTTTGAAAACTCTGCYCTTAATTGTTGTGTTTAACTTCACTGAGCAGCTCAGTCAATGTTGGTCAATTTCAAACACAGCATCGTAATAAATAACAATTCAACTAAATGAAAGCTTCGCTCAGTTCCTTACAAAACAAACGCCAATTGCAAAACTATAAACTTCCGGATTATAACTCTGTCAGTCATGACAATGTTAGCTGTTTTCGCTGCATCGCATGACCACTGTTGACAACTGTGTAAACTGTCACAGTAAAACACRTTTATTTGGCGTCTGCAAAAAGCAACTATGTGGCCAGAATGAAGTTACGACATGTTTTATTTTCAATATATTCAAGTGAAAAACAAAACTCGTTCGTCTTACCTCGGTTTTCGGTGAACTAATGCTAGCTAAATGCTAACYACTAACGTCCAGCAGCACTGATCCAATCAATATGAGATTTTAAACCCGCAGTTCCGACTGCAAGGCAACACCGCCCTCTTTCGTTTCCCGCTAACAACGAAAGCTCATTCATTGATATCCATATTAAAACATTAAAAACGTAGACACATTACATTTCTGTTTGCTGTAAGCATAAAAATAGTCAAAAAATTAAACTGATGGGTCTTATTTAAAAAATAAATATTCGAATAACCACGCTATAAAGTACATATACACACATTCCGCGATTTAACGTGTTGAAATGTAATCAACATATACACAAAAAAAAAAAAACCTCCAGTTTGTTCGCTTATTTTGCCTCATAGACAACACTGAGGGTACGATTACTTCATATCTTCCATAGTGACGTTCGTATTCATCTCTCCTCCCATTGGACAACACTTTRGACGTGCCTCCAATCAGATCAATGGAATTTCGATCGAGCGTACTGGTGCGTTCAGGGGATCACYGTAAATAAGCATTATTGATCTTAAACGTCTCTGGAAATGAGAAAACTACGGAATCCCATTTCAACCACTTTGAAYTAACTAGATGCATATAAAACATAATTAAAAGATATTATCTCAAAATTAGGACTAACTGTCCCATATTTGTAACCTAACGTCAAAATGTGACCTAACATCTCATATTTAGAGATTCTAAGTCTGCCAAGTCATAAATAAAGGATACTTACTATAACTTAGTACCATATTATTACAAGATACAAAGGCAAAATATGGAGATACTAAATTTAAAAATTAGTGTCTTATAAATGAGCTGCTAAATCATAATTTTAATGGTATTTTCTAATTATGAGATGCTAATTCTGCTGAGTCATAACAATAGGTTGCTTACTCAAAATTTTGATGGTCATAATTTTAGTGTCTCATAATTAAAATATTCTGCTTTCTTTAAAAAGCAACACATCTGTAGTTAAACCTCTGAACACATGATGGCAGTGTCACAATGAAAAAATAAATGAAAGAAACCAGCCTGGTAGAAAAAAACATTTATTTATTGTGCTGGTCAGTACTAATGTACAGTAATTTTTCCAGCACCACAGATGTTTTCACCCTTCTCTTTAACACAAAAGAAGCTGTAACTCAAACACATCACAGTGTATGTAACACAACTGAAATAACAAATTTCACATTAAATTATGTATCCCTTGAGCTTTATTCTCAGTTTATGTGCACTCAGGATGAAAAAAATAAACATATTCGTTGCGCTCATGGGTTGCTGTGATTTGTGTATTTTATATCGTCAGTATTAAAAATATATAACATTGTACATAAAGAATAACACTGAGTGGTAAAAAGGCACCATTAACTTCATTCAGTTTTTTCAGAGGTTAGAACTTAGAAACGCTGAGCAGCTCCAGATTTTGCATCTTCCCTTCAGTAGCCGCTCTCGATGCAGCCGACGGCCGCGGCGTTGTCGGGACACTTGCAGGAGCGGCTGCTTGGTGTTGGTAAACAGAGATGAGTGCATCCTCCGTTGTTTACAGAACAGTAATTTTGCCCTGTTGAAAAAAAAAACATCATTATTAAAGCCACACGCTTGTTTTAAACTAAAATCTTATGATAAGAAATAATGAAGTATTAATAGATATTTAATCTGTGTGCTGAGGATGACTCTTACGTACTACCACACTAAAAAAAGTAAACAAAAAACACAAAAACGTGATAAATATGGAACATTCATTAATACACAGGAAGTAGTGGGAAGCGAGGTCTGCGTCCAAAAGAAACACAGCAGAATCCAGATGTCAGAGGCCCTCTCCCTCGACTCCACCTTCCCCCCACTTTCAGACGTTCAGATTTATCTAAGGGAGGACGAAGCCTGGTACTCAACATTATCTTCAGTCACTCCTTCCAGAACTAGAAAAAATAAACACCAACGGCAAAATTCCTGCTTGTACCATAAGGTCAAGGAGAAAATCTTGGWTTTCAACGTGTTTCGTGTGTTTTCTCTGTTTTCACAAAACTGGGCTGAGGCCAGTTTTACTCCTCAGCTGCATTTCTGAAATATCTCAGCAAAWTGAAAGGCTTGGAATTCCTTGAAGGAATGCWTWTCATTAAACTAAAACTATCCGATGATGGTCAATCTATTAGCACTGGAAGTACTGTATGTCATGAAGATGACTTTAACTCGATATCTATAAAATTAGCTTAAGATWTAGGCATTTATGTGTACAACAAGCTGTGGCGGCCATCTTGAGAAATGTACATCCAAAAAAATTTTTTCTGACAGTGGTGGGAACAGCTAAACAAAAAGTTAGCTTCTCTAACTCTCAATCCACTAACTGCTAATAGCAAAACTACTTTTTTGTTTAGCATTTTAGCTTTTCCCCAAATATTGCAAACCAATAGTGGACCAGTTAGCTTCAACTAAATTATGTTTTGCAAGCTTTAAAGCCACTAATTACTAATAGCAGAACTACCTTTTTGTTAAGCACATTAGCCTTTTAACAAACTGTTAGCGGACCCATTAGCTTCCACTAAATTATATTTTTAAATTTGCTAAAAGCTAGCCGAACTCCTCTTTTGTTTGGCATATTAGCTTTTTCCACAAACATTCAAAACCAATAGTGAACCAGTTAGCTTCGGCTAAATTATGTTTTGC